CCCCTCTTTCCCCGCTTCCCGGGCGCCCCCCTTCGCCCGGCCTCTGTGGTCTCCGGCCCCCCCTGGCGCGTCCTTGTCTGCCTCTTGGGCGCGTTTCCCCCCCTCTGTGCCCGTTGCCCCCCCCCTCCCCTTCGTGCTCCCTTCCTCCTTCCCTCCTTTTCTGCCGGCCTTTTTCCCCTGGCTCGCCGCCTGCTTGCTGCCGCCCGCGGTGGTGCTTTCGTTGCCCCGCCCCCCCGCCGCTGCCCGCCCTCTCCTTGCCCCCTGGCTGCCCCTTCTCCCCCGTTTGGCCCTCGCCTTGTCCCCCCGTCTCCGCCCGTGCCTGCGGTCCCTCTTTCTGCTCTTGCCCCCCCTTTCTGGTTTCCCTCCTCTTGTTCGTCCCTTCGCCGTCGGCCCTCTGCCCCCTGTCCCCGCCTGTGGCCTTTGCTCGGTCGTTGGGCCCCCCCTGCTGCCTGCCCCCCTCTTCCCGCCGCCCCTCTTGCCCCGTCCCCTGGCTGGCGGTTTTCCTGGCCCCCCCCGGTCCGTCTGCTCCCTTTCCCCTCCCTCTCCTCCTGGCTGGCGGGCTCCCCCCCCCTTCGCTCTGGCCCCTCCCCCGGGCCCCCGTTTGTTCCGCCTCGTTCCCTTTTCCCCGTCTCGCCCCCCTTTCCTTCCCGCCCCCCCCCCCCCCCCTCTCGCTCCGGTCTGCCTCTCGCCGCTCTTGTTCCCTCTCTTGCTCCTCCCCCTTTGCCGTTTCCCCCCGCCCCCCCTTCCCCCCGCGCCCCGGCTCGTCTTCCCGCCCCCCGGCTCGTCTTCCCCCTTGGCCCGCCCCCTGGGCCCCTCGCCCCTCCGGTTCGTCGGTTGGCCGCCCCGCGTTCTGGCCCCCTCCCCTCTCCCCCGTTGTTCCTCCTCCCGCGCCTGTCCGTGCCCTTCCTGTGCGCCGTCTGTCGCTGGCCCCGCCTGTTGCTTTCGCCCCGGCCCTCCGTGCCGGTCCCCTTGCCCCTCCCGCGCCGTCCCCGGTCGCTTTCTTCTTTTTCTGCTTCTGCCCCCGTCCCCCCCTTTCCTCCCGCTCTTTTCGCCCCCCTCCGCGGCCCCTCCCTCCTGCTCTGTCTGCGCCCTTTCGTGCCTGTGCTGGCCCTCCCCCCTTTTCGCTTCTCTGCCCCCGTCCCTCGCTCTGCCCCTTTTCTCCCCGCGTTCTGCCCTTTGCCCCCGCCCCCCCTCCGCGCTTGCGGCCGTGCCCGTGCCCGCGCCTGTCTCTCTGGCTCGTCCCGCCCTCTTCCTGCCCCGTGGCCCCGCCCCCGGTCTGTTTCCTCTTCCGTGCCTGCTCCGTGGGGTGCCCTTGCCCTGCTCTGTTCGCTTTCGGCGCTTCTCTTCCTGTCCTGCCTCTTCTGTTTCTGCTTCTTTCCTCTTGGCCCCCTGCCTCCCTCTCGTCTCGTCCTTCCTTGGCTGCTGCTCTCCTCCCTCTCCTCGGGGTGTGCTTGCGGCTTTGCTTGTTGCCGTTCCTCCCTTGGTTTTTCCTGCTGCTTTTTCTGTGCTTGCTCTGGCCCTCCTCCTCCCCTTTCTCCTCTTTTGTTCGGCCGGCCCTTCTTCCCCCTGCCCCCCCCCCTTGCTCTTCCTCGTGGTCTGCTTCCTCTGGCGTCTCCTGGTCCCTTGTGCGCTTTTCCTCTTTCTGCTCCCCTGCCCTCTCCTCGTGCTGCTCCTTTTGCCCTTTTTGTTGCTTCTTTGCCGCTTTGTTCCCTTTGCTGCCCTTGGCTTCTCCTGCCCCCAGCCCCTCCTCCTCCTCTTTGCGTCCTCCTCTGCCTGCCGGGGCTGTTTCTTTGCCTCCTCTCCTCCTCGCCGGTCCTCCCCCCGCCGCTGGCCTTTCCCGCCCTCTCCTCCGTCGCGCCCCCGCCGCTCCCCCCGGCGCTGCTTGGGCGGCCCCCTCCGGTGTGTTTGTTCCCTTCTTTTTCTTTTCTTCCTCTTCTTCTTCCTTTCCTTTTTCTGTGCCTTTTTTCTTCCCCCTTGGGGCCCCTGTTGGTCCTCCGTGTGGGGGCGGGCTTTCGTTTTCTTCTTTGTTTGCTTCTGTCCCCCTTCTTCTTCTGTTTTCTTCTTTCCTTTTCCCCCTCTTTTCCTCGTCTTTTCTGCCCCTCCGTCTTCTTTTGCCCCCTTCTTCTCTTTTTCCTTTCTTGCCTTCCTCCCCTGCTTGCCTCCCTCGTTTGGCCCGTTGTGCTTCGTTTGTTCGCCTTTCCTGTTTGCTCTGTCGTGGCTCTCTTCCGTCCGCCCTCCCCCTGTGCGTGTTTTGCGCCCTTGCCTGCCCCTTCGGTCTTCTTTTCTTTCTCTTGTGTGCTTTCTTCCCTCCTTTTGTTTCTCTCGCCCTTGCCTTGCTTCTCTTTTCCCGCTCCTTCGCCCCTGCCTGCTTCCCGTGTGCTTCCGGCCCTTCTTTGCTCTTTGCGCCTCCCTCGCCCCCTCCCCGGTTTGTCCTCTGCTTTCTTTCCCTTTGTTCCCCCCTTTGCGCTTTCTGGCCCTTCTTTTCTTTCTTTTGCCCCCCTTCCCCGCCTTTTCTCTCTCCCCTCCTGCCTTCCCCCCGCTGCCTCCCTCGTGGCGCCCCTTTTGGCTTCTTTTTGTCCTCTCCGTGCGGTTGTGGCCGGCTCCGTGTGGGGGCGCTCCCTTCTTTGTTCCTCTGCTTGCGCGTGCGGTGGGTTGTCTCTTCGTTGCCCCTTTGTCGTTGGTCTTCTCTGCCCCGCCCCCTGCCGGCCGTTCCTGCTTCCCCCCCCCCCCCCCGTCTGCCCCTTGCCCCCCTGCCCTGGCCCCTGGCGCCTCTCTGTTTGCCCCCGCCCCTCTTGCTGCCCTTTCTGCGCCCCTGCGCCCGCCTCCGCCCTTGCTTTTGCGTTGCCGTTCCTTCTCCCTCCCTGCCGTCCGGGGCCTTCTGGTCCTCCTGCGGCCGCCTCTTCTTTTGCGCCTGCTCGTCTGTTGCGCCTCCTCGGCCTGTTTTGCTGCCCTTGCGGGTGTTGGCTTCTTGTCTTTCTTTTGCTCCTCTCGTTTGCCGCTTTTGCTTTCCGCTCCTTTCCTCCCTCTTCCCTCCCTTCCCCCTCGCCCCTTCCCCCCTGTGCCCGTCCTTCTGCTTTGTGTCCTGCCTGCCTCTTGTCGTGGTGCTTGCGCCGCTCTGCCCGCCTCTGGTCGCGCCCTTTTCTCGGCCTGCCCTTGCGTGCCCTTTCTCCCCCTCCCCCCCTTGCGTGCTGCGTGCTCTTCCTGTGCGGGCTTCCTTCTTTCGTTCTCTCCCTTTTCCCCCGGGTGCTCCCTTCTTCCTTGCCGGGTGCTTCCGCTTGTTGTTCCTGCTCTGTTCTGCGTTTTGGCGCCTTTCCTTTTCCTTTCCTTCGCCCCTCCTCTTTTTGCTTGGGGCCCCGCCCCTGTTTTCGTGTGGGGGGCCTTTGCTCGGCCTCTTTTCCCCTCCTCTTTTCGGTCCCTCTTTCTCCTCCTTTTGGCCTTCCTTCTTCCTCTTCTCTCTTCCTTCATTCCTTTTCGCCTTTCCTCTCTCCTCTATCCCTCTCTCTTCCGTCCTCTCTCCTCTCTCTTCTCTATCTCTCTCTCTCTCTCTCTCTCTTCCTCTCTCTCTCTCTCTTTCTCTTTCTTTCTTCTGTCCTCGTTTCCCGTTTTCCCTCTCCTCTGCGTTCTCTCTCTTTTTCGTCTTTCTCTTTCTTCTTTTGTCTCGTTTCTTCCCCTCCCTCCTTTCTTCGCCTGCCCCCCTCTTGCCCCTTCTCTTTTCTTTGCTTTGTCCCTGGCGTGTGCCCCCGCGGCGTTCGTCCCCCTTGGTGCGCCCTTGCGGCCCGCCCTGCGCCCGCCTCCCTTCGTCCGGCCGCCCCCCTCGGCCTGCCTTGCCTGGTCGCCTTCTCTTTGCGCCTCATCTCCTCGCCGCCGCTTTCTCTTGTCCCCTGTTCCTTCTTCCCTCTCGCCTCTTCTTTCCGGTTGTTCTCCCTGCTCCCTTCGCCGCTCCTTTCTTGTTTGGTTTCGTGCCTTGCCGCCCCGGCGTTCCTTCCGCTGTCCGGTTCTTTCTTTCTTTTTCTTCTCTCTTTTTTCTGCCTTTGCGTCTTCCCTCTTCTTCTCCGTTCTTTGCCTCGTTGTCTCCTTTCCTTGCTCGGGCGGCCTCCTCGTTCTTTCTTTGCTCTCCTTCTTTGCTCTCTTCGCTCCTGTTGTGCTCCCCCTTCTTCTCCTCTTCCGTCGCCCCTGCGGTTCCTTCTTGCCGGCTTCGTGCTCCTTGGTCTCGGGTCGCCTCTTTTCCTCCCTTCCCTGCCCCCGCTTGTGCTTGTGTTCTTTCGTTTGTCGGTTTTCCTCGTTCCTCTTGCTGCTCTTCCCTTCCCTCTCTCGCGCTTGTCTTCGGCTTCTTTCGTCGTTCGGGGTCCTTCCCCCGCTTGTGCTTTCTTTCCCTCCCCCTCCGGGCCCCCGCCCTGCCCTCCTTTCCCGCCCCCTCTTCCCTTGCCTCTTCCTTCCTTTCTTCCTCCCTGCTCCGTGTTGCCTTCCGGTGGTGGCTCTTTCCTCCCCCCGGTTTCTTCTTCTCCGTGTTTTCGCTCTCTTCTTTTCCTTGCTTTCTTCGTTCCTTCCCTTTCTTGTTTCTTTCCTTCTCTTTTCTTTCTCTTTCTTCTCGCTCTCTTCCCCCCCCCCCTTCCTTTCCTTTGCGCCCCCCCGTTCCCCTCGTTCCTCCTCGTGGGCTCGCTCCTTCCTCCCGCTCCTCCGTTTGTCCGGTTTTCCTTTGGGCGCCTCCGCCCGCTCCCCCCTTTTGGCGCCGTTGCCGGGGCGCTTTTCTCGCTTCTTTTGTGTTTGTTTCTTTCTTCTTTCTTTTGTTCTTTGTTTCTTTGTTTTCCTTTGTCCCCCCCCCTTCCCCCCCTTCTTTTCTTTCGTTCCTTTTCCCTCCTTGCTGCCCTCTCTTTTCTTTTTGTTTCTGCCTCTCCCTCGCTCTGCTCCTCCCGCCCTCTTGCCGTCCTCTCCGCCCTTGCCCGCCCTGCTCCGCCGGTGGCGGCCCCCCGCTTTGCGCCCCTTGGCGTTTCGTGCTCTGGCTCCCGCTTCTCCCCCTTCTGCTTTCGCCGCGGCCCCCCTGGCTCCCCCTCGCCCTTTCCCCGCGCTTGGCGCTCCCCCTTTCGCTCCGCCCCCTTTCTGCCTCCCTTTTCCCTGCTCTGGCTGCTCCTGTCCCCTTTGCCTCCCTCTGGCTTCCTTCCTCTTTTGCCTTCTTTTCCTGGCCTTGCCGGTGCCGCTCCTCCCCCCCCTTCCGGCCTTCCCTGTGGTGTGTTCCCGTCTGCCCCCCCCGGGGTTCCTGCCGCCCCCTCCCGTTGCGCGCCTTCCCCTTTTCTTTGCCCGCTTCCGCGCCGGCTTGGCTCTCTTCTCTCCCTTCCTGGGCGCCTCCCCCCCTGGCCTCCCTTGCCGCCCCTGTTCCTTGCCCCTCTTTCCCCGCTTCCCGGGCGGCCCCCCTTCGCCCGGCCTCTGTGGTCTCCGGCCCCCCCCTGGCGCGTCCTTGTCTGCCTCTTGGGCGCGTTTCCCGCCCCTCTGTGCCCGCTGCCCCCCCCTCCCCTTCGTGCTCCCTTCCTCCTTCCTCCTTTTCTGCCGGCCTTTTTCCCCTGGCTCGCCGCCTGCTTGCTGCCGCCCGCGGTGGTGCTTTCGTTGCCCCGCCCCCCGCCGCTGCCCGCCCTCTCCTTGCCCCCTGGCTGCCCCTTCTCCCCCGTTTGGCCCTCGCCTTGTCCCCCCGTCTCCGCCCGTGCCTGCGGTCCCTCTTTCTGCTCTTGCCCCCCCCTTTCTGGTTTCCCTCCTCTTGTCCGTCCCTTCGCCGTCGGCCCTCTGCCCCTGTCCCCGCCTGTGGCCTTTGCTCGGTCGTTGGGCCCCCCCTGCTGCCTGCCCCCCTCTTCCCGCCCCTCTTGCCCCCGTCCCCCTGGCTGGCGGTTTTCCTGGCCCCCCTCCCGGTCCGTCTGCTCCCTTTTCTCCTCCCTCTCCTCCTGGCTGGCGGGCTCCCCCGCCCCTTCGCTCTGGGCCCTCCCCCGGGCCCCGTTTGTTCCGCCTCGTTCCCCTTTTCCCCCGTCTCGCCCCCCTTTCCTTCCCGCCCCCCCCCGCCCCCGCTCTCGCTCCGGTCTGCCTCTCGCCGCTCTTGTTCCCTCTCTTGCTCCTCCCCTTTGCCGTTTCCCCCCGCCCCCCCCCTCTTCCCCCCGCGCCCCGGCTCGTCTTCCCGCCCACTTGCCCGCCCCTGGGCCCCTCGGCCCCTCCGGTTCGTCGGTTGCGCCGGCCCCGCGTTCCTGCCCACTCTCCCTCTTGACACCACCGTCTCGTTCGTCGCTACCCGCGCCTGTCCGTGCCCTTACCTGTTGCGTCCGTACTGTCGCTGCACCCGCCTGTTGCTTTCAGCGCCCGGCCCTCCGTGGCCAGGTCTCCTTGCCCTCCTCCCGCGCCGTCACCCGGTCCGCTTTCTTCTATTTTCTGCTTCTGCACCACTCCGCCCCTTTCCTCACGACGTCTTATTCGCCACGCCCTCAGCGGCACCTCCATCCTGCTTTCTGCGCCCGCTTTCGTGCCTGTGGGCTGGCCCTCCCCCCATTTTTCGCTTCATCTTGCCCCAGTCCGCTCGCTCTCTC